ATAAGACACACTGACCTTTTCGTCAGCCAATAAAATATCGACACGCAGCCTGGTAACTTCAGTCGTTAAGTGAAAAGATGTTGTGCTAACGAAATCAGGAAATAAACGCAGCTTGCTTTCGACGACCTCGATGTTAACACGTTTCCTGCTATCGTCAGTAGTGTCTTTTGAACAGCCACGATTATGCCACGTCGGTAGTGTCTTTTGATATTTTTCTCTCATATCCACGCCATCTAGCTCCAGTCCCAGATGTGTCCGAATGCAAACCGCAAACCAGAGTCCGGGCCGGAATCAGGTGGTTGGCTCAAACGTTGAGAACGATGCAACCGTTTTCAACCGTTTCAGCCAAGCGCGCTGAAATGAATGGGGCAGCAGACGGGACACGTGTACCCAGCCAAGCACTCTCCTCTGTGAAGCTCGCAAACCATCCAGTCTGCCCGAAACAGACAGGACAGGCAAGAAGAGTGGCGAAAAAAATATACTGTTTTAGCTAAACACCGAACGAGCAATGCAGATTAGCAAAAAAATGACTTGTGCGAAATAAACAGCTCAGAAACAAGCAGGGTGAGAGGGATGGGTGGGGGGGGGGGACACTCACTACAGTTCGGTATATTGAGAAAACAAAATCGCAAAGTGCACACCTCCATTGCCCAAACAGTCGTAAGCGCTCACGCTACCAACCCAGCCCAAGTGGAACATAACAGCTGGGTAAAAGTCGTGCGACACGAATCTGGACCCTCAAAGTGTTGAGGTGCGACAGTGGTGCACGACAATTTCCAATTGACGCCACCGTCAACCCTCGCCTCCTGCGAAACACACGTAGGCAGAACAGTTTGACTAGAGATCTCATTGGTTCGACGACTGTCGACGTGTGATTGTCGCATTGTAACCGTCTGTTCAAGGTCGCCAGACCAGCGGATCCGGTCGAAGCGAATTTACAATTCAGCGACCAGTTCACGATTGTAAAATGATTCAAGGGCCCGAGTGATCGTGAACCTCCAAGTCCGCATTATCTTCAAGCGTTGATAAAAAACTGGTGCATTTATCAATAAGTAAAAGAAACAGAACATCAGGTATAAAAATAATTATACACAAGTCATTTCGCAGGAAGAATAAATAATTAGAAGTGTTTTTTTTGAGTGAAAAGATGTAGAGTCGTATTAGGACTAATATATTATATAAATTGACTCTGATGTAATAGTATATGCGCTTATGAATATTACATAATTATAGATCAAGATACGGTTATATGATCTCTATATGGTTAGTTCATGCATTTACAATACATCCTTTGTTTTAAATAATCTAATTGTGAATATATCGTTATTACAAACCAGCACACCTTGTTTTTCAAATGGTTTGTTAGATAATTGCAAGTATGCTTTTGTCGAAATTATCTGCCTAACCGTAAGTCACGGCGGCTGTAAATCGAATCGCTTGAACTGGAGCGCGATGTAAAATTTTCTTGAGGCACACCCGTTTCAGGTGTGATTGGTCAGATTAGGCGCTGCCTGATTCCCGATTTTACAGCTTGACTATACCCACCCACGGCTCGAGTGATCGAGCCGCGTGGGTTTGTTAGTGGGCTTGTGAGGTGCTTCATATTCTGTTTTTGCCTTGGGAAAATATATTTAATCCGTCCCACCCACATGGTACAGTATTGTTTACGTGGGGGGCTCCCATTTCCATCTCGTTTCCATCTGCTTCTGTCGTACGATTTGCGCTTCAGTTAAAATTCTTCCTGCCCTGCATGTTTCAGAATGTTTTGTGGGTGGGGTGGGGTCAAACTGTAAACTTGCTTGCGTTACCTGGAGGTTGGTTCGGTTGGATGTCGGGTCGCCAAGCCTCCCTCCCCTCCTCTCCTCCAACCCCACGCTCCACCTCCTCTATTCTCACGTCACGATCACTTCACCCACGGAAAATCGATGTAGTGCCATTCGACTTAGTAGGAGCTCAGCTCGCGTTTGTTCGTGCGCCTCGCGCGCCTCGCGCCCGTTAGATTTAGATGGTCGTCATCCCTCGCGCTTCCAGCGGTTTCGTTTCGCCGCCCCGCTCGCGCGGATATTGCCTTTTACGAATGCAAACCAGAGTCCGGACGGAATCAGGTGGGTGGCTCACACGTCATCTCCAGAAGCCAGTTTGCCCGTCAAACCCCACTTCCGATCCAAACGCCGATTCCCTCGCATATCCCTCCGCCTCTCCTTGAAGCGCCTCCGTTTGAAAGGTCTCAGTTTGGTTAATTGTTTCCCTCTGAAACGACTGTTTCAGTGCTTTCCGAGTGGCGTCTTCAGCAGCTTCAAAGCCAAGCGCGCGAGGGTGGGGAGGAATCGGAGTTTGAACTGGTGTTTGCTGCAGCTGGCCGATCAGACCTCCTTCCAGGAAGCATCTCCGGGCTTCGTTTCTCCTCCTCCGCTTTTCCCGTTCATCGCTCCACGTCGTCTCGCTTCGTTACAGTCACATCCGTACTAGCGAGGGATGACGTGGTTGCGACAGGCGACGACAGCGGGTCGCAGGCTCAGCAGAGTCGCACGGAGTCGTTCTTGCTGGCGGTAGAAGAAGGAGAGAAGCGCGTGAAGGAGCTGGAGGGTAAGTGAACGCGAAGCAACGCGCGCTGGAGCAACTGCAGGTATATCTACCCATTTGATACACTCACACACGTTCCCTTTCTCCACCCGCCTTCTTATAATCTGTTTTCCTTTTTGCGACAAGGGAAGAAAGAAAGGAATATGTGCTTGAGTGATTAATTTCCGTTTGTTTATGTCGCGCACTTGTGCTGCAGGCTGACATGCCTCTGCTCTATTCTGAGACATTTGCTGGCGTGGAGATTGCAGCGGAATCGGCAGGAGCAGGCGAACAGGAAGGGAAGGAGGAAGAGAAGGAGCAACAGCCTGCTTCTGCTTCTGCTGCTGACGTTCCCCCGCGCGTGTTTGAGAGCCCGCATTGAAAGCATCGAATGCGTGCAGAGGCGCGTCGTCAACAGACACAAAGCCGAGGGCGCGAGGGTGGGGAGAAACCGGGGTTTGAACTGTGTTGAGTTTGGTTTGACTGCCCTTCGATATTAGAAAACTGTATTTTGGTGTTTTGGTAGCTTCCCTCTCTTCTTTTCAAAGCCCTAGTTTCAAGTACCCATTTTTCTCAGTACATGCCCGTTTCCGCGCTGCAGGCGGAAGAACGGCGAGTTTCCGCGCATCAGCAGGGGCAGCGACAAGAGCACGTCGAGCCATGCAGCCATGCACCACCGCGCTGCAGGCAGGCGGAAGTTCGGAGCGCTTCCGCACTGCAGGCGGAAGGTCGGAGCGCTTCCGCGCTGCAGGCGGAAGGTCGGAGCGCTTCCGCGCTGCAGGCGGAAGGTCGGAGCGCTTCCGCGCTGCAGGCGGAAGGTCGGAGCGCTTCCGCGCTGCAGGCGGAAGGTCGGAGCGCTTCCGCGGTGCAGGCGGAAGGTCGGAGCGCTTCCGCGGTGCAGGCGGAAGGTCGGAGCGCTTCCGTGGTGCAGGCGGAAGGTCGGAGCGCTTCCGCGGTGCAGGCGGAAGGTCGGAGCGCTTCCGCGCTGCAGGCGGAAGGTCGGAGCGCTTCCGCGCTGCAGGCGGAAGGTCGGAGCGCTTCCGCGCTGCAGGCGGAAGGTCGGAGCGCTTCCGCGCTGCAGGCGGAAGGTCGGAGCGCTTCCGCGGTGCAGGCGGAAGGTCGGAGCGCTTCCGCGGTGCAGGCGGAAGGTCGGAGCGCTTCCGTGCTGCAGGCGGCAGGTCGGAGCGCTTCCGCGCTGCAGGCGGAAGGTCGGAGCGCTTCCGCGCTGCAGGCGGAAGGTCGGAGCGCTTCCGCGCTGCAGGCGGAAGGTCGGAGCGCTTCCGCGGTGCAGGCGGAAGGTCGGAGCGCTTCCGCGGTGCAGGCGGAAGGTCGGAGCGCTTCCGCGCTGCAGGCGGAAGGTCGGAGCGCTTTCGCGCTTCATGAGCGTGAGCCCCTTTCCAAACATCTCGAGAATTTCTGTTTACCCCCTTCCCCCCGCCACTGAGTTTCTGTCCCCTCGCGCCATCCCCCTCCCTTCCCCTTCCCCTCTTCCGCAACTACTCCTTTTCCACCCTGATCCGCGCCCCTCCCCGCCATTTCCGCATTTCCCTCATCCCCTCTCTCTCCTCTATGCCCTCTCCCCTCTCTCTCCCGGCTCTTTATCTCTTTCCCCTACCCTCCGCTTCCCTCCCCCCTTCCCACCCCGATCACTCTCGCTCCCCTCTCCGTTTCCAGCCCTCGCTTTCGTTTCCTCTCCTTCGCGCACCTTGTGGTAACTCTGTAACGCATTGATCTCGCCCATTCTTTTTCCGTTCCCGTTCTCCTTGTGCATCATGTTCCCCTTTCCGCTTTTCCCCCTGCCGCCTCCCCTTGCTCCCCCGTAGCGTAGCGTAACCCCTATTCCCGTTTCCTCTCTCCCTGTTTCTCCTCTCCCTGTTTTCTCCTATGGACGCCATGACGATATTCCCTTACAATGTGTGGAATGATACAAGTTATTGATATGATGACAATAGGCTCGGCACAGGCACGTGTGAGGCTCGGCACAGCCAGGCGAGGGTTGGCACAGCCAGGCGTGGTGAGAGGCTCGGCACAGCCAGGCGTGGTGAGAGGCTCGGCACAGCTGGGTGAGAGGCTCGGCACAGCTGGGTGAGAGGCTCAGCACAGCCAGGTGAGGGTCGGCTCGCTGCTGCTTGAACTCTCCCATTCACCTCTCTGGTGCCAGCCTCGAAGATGCGATGATAAAGATAGAATAATAGGAGTCATTAGGAGTTTTTGATATGTATGCTTGTATGTAACATCACACATGAGCTAGTCTGGCCAGGTCCGTCCTGGCCAGGCTCGGGGAGGTAGGGTCGGTTCGGCCTAGGTCCGGGAGGGGGGGGAGGGGGAGGAGGTCTGATTGGGCCAAATACAGATACAGATACAGTGACAGTGACCGAAACAGGGACAAATACAGACACAGGGACAAAAACGGAAGGCAAACAGGGACAGAAGCGAGGTCAGGGACAGAGCGTAAATGGAAGACAAACAGGGAGAGAAGCAGCAGGGACAGGGAGAGGGACACACCAACAGCCGACAGAAACAGGAATGGAAGACAATGAGAGAGAAGCAGGGACAGGGAGACGGATGGAAAGAGGCCAGATGTGAGGCCTACATGGCCTTTTGGCAGGTGGTGCCTGTGTGTGACTCGGCCAGGCCAGCCAAGCGATTTGAGGGGGCTGTGTGGGGGGGGGGGGGAGGGCTGTGTTGGGGGGGGGTGTGTATGGGGGGCTGTGTGGGGGGGCTGTGAGGGGGGCTGTGAGGGGCGTTGGGGGGTAGGGGGCCCTTCGGGGGGGTCATGGAGGGGTTTTCACTCGCTTCTCGTTATTATCACTCTTGTTGTCCACTTTCTGCATCCTAGTACCATGGTCCTCTGTTATTATCTATTGTTTTTAAACCTTCAAGGTTGAGATGTTGTATTGTCTTGGGGGAAGAAGCAATGAGCTGGTGTGGTGATAGGGCACAGACACCAAGCAGGTTGGAATCAGCAGCCCCTCCCTTCCCTCCTGCTTGATGTTTCTCCACATGATATATGATTCTATTTACGGTAAACAAAGCAACAAGCCAGTCCACAACCTATTTACAGTACAATCATACCCATTGTTAAGATTCCTAAACATGTCAATCTTGCGACGGTATCTCTTGGTGATCAACATGCCGCATGTATCTCCGCGCTTCACACTGTACAATCGCTTGGTTGAACATGTATTGCCAGATAACGGCCGGCCGTCAACACTAGCCACACAAATCTGTGAGTCAACCATCAGTGAGGAACAGGATGGAAGGGGAAGAAAAATAAACTGCATTGAATAACCTTCACACACAGAGGCAGAGACAGAGACAGAGGCAAGACATCGACAGCGGCACCAGACACAGGCACAGGCACAAGCACAGGTACTATTTGCAGCGTATAGCGTATAACCTCCTTCCACTCCACCCCACACACAGACCTTCCCGACTCACCCTTCTCATCATATTGCCCTGCAGGGGGCTGTAGGGCAGCAGCGAGTCGCACAAGAGGTCAAGATTCAACTGGAAGAAGCGCATCGGACTTCTTGCTCCTCCCTCAGCCCACAACTCACACCCGCAACCGCTCGACTCTCACCCTCCCAGCCCAACTCACCCTTCTCATCATGTTGCCCTGCAGGGGGCTGTAGGGCAGCAGCGAGTCGCACAAGAGGTCAAGATTCAACTGGAAGAAGCGCATCGGACTTCTTGCTCCTCCCTCAGCCCACAACTCACACCCGCAACCGCTCGACTCTCACCCTCCCAGCCCAACTCACCCTTCTCATCATGTTGCCCTGCAGGGGGCTGTGCGGCAGCAGCGAGTCGCACAAGAGGTCAAGATTCAACTGGAAGAAGCGCATCGGACTTCTTGCTCCTCCCTCAGCCCACAACTCACACCCGCAACCGCTCGACTCTCACCCTCCCAGCCCAACTCACCCTTCTCATCATGTTGCCCTGCAGGGGGCTGTAGGGCAGCAGCGAGTCGCACAAGAGGTCAAGATTCAACTGGAAGAAGCGCATCGGACTTCTTGCTCCTCCCTCAGCCCACAACTCACACCCGCAACCGCTCGACTCTCACCCTCCCAGCCCAACTCACCCTTCTCATCATATTGCCCTGCAGGGGGCTGTCGGGCAGCAGCGAGTCGCACAAGAGGTCAAGATTCAACTGGAAGAAGCGCATCGGACTTCTTGCTCCTCCCTCAGCCCACAACTCACACCCGCAACCGCTCGACTCTCACCCTCCCAGCCCAACTCACCCTTCTCATCATGTTGCCCTGCAGGGGGCTGTGCGGCAGCAGCGAGTCGCACGAGAGGCCGGGGTTCATCTGGAAGAAGCGCGTGGGGGAGGCGATGGCAAACGCCCGCCACAGCTGCTGGCAGGTCTGCGGGCCCTGGAGGACCGTCACGAGCACACCTACGCTCGTGTAGTTGGCTAGAGGCGGAGGAGGAGGGGGTGGTTGAGGGCTGGGTGAGGTTGTGGGCGGGGTTTGTGTCACGGCTGGGGTGATTTGGGCCTGGAGCTTGCATGATATGCGGGTCATTCCCTCTTCTAGCCACGTCTGGTTGAGGGATACACAGAGGAGCTGGGAAGGAGGGAGGGAGGAGAATGGGGGAGAGGGGGGAGAAGGGGGAGAAGAGGGGGAGTGGGGAGAGGAATGTGTGAAATGATGTGAGATCGGGTTCTGAGACTTTGGAGAACAAACTACCCTAACAACCTGTCATTGCAGCAGCTTCTGTTACCAGCGCACCTGCATTCTTGTCAGCCATCTACACTCACCTTCACCCACCTACACCCACCTCGACCCACCTACGCTCACCAACACCCACCTACACCCCCCGAGACCCACCAACACATACCTGCAACCACAAGCACTCACCTGCACCTGCATCCACACTCACGTGCCCTCACCTAACTCACTTGCACCCATCTGCACCGATGCTCACCTGGCCGGGTCTGGGCCCATCAGAGCAGGTGAGGGCGGGGTTGAGCGGCTGTATCTGCGTGGAGAAGAGGGCGTTGAGTGAGTCACACGTGTCACCCTGCACACGCATGTCAGGTATAGGAGGAGTGGAAGAGGAAGCGTGGTTACTGGAAGGATTGAGTTGAGTGGCTGTAACTGCGTGGAGAAGAGGGCGTTGCGTGAGTCACACGTGTCACCCTGCACACGCATGTCAGGTATAGGAGGAGTGGAAGAGGAAGCGTGGTTACTGGAAGGATTGAGTTGAGTGGCTGTATCTGCGTGGAGAAGAGGGCGTTGAGTGAGTCACACGTGTCGCCCTGCACACACATGTCAGGTATAGGAGGAGTGGAAGAGGAAGCGTGGTTACTGGAAGGATTGAGTTGAGTGGCTGTATCTGCGTGGAGAAGAGGGCGTTGCGTGAGTCACGTGTCACCCTGCCGGCACACAGGGAAATAGGCGAGTGAGTGTCTGGGAAAGAGACGAGGGGGTTTGAAGGGAGAAGGCACGTGGAGGGAGAAGGCACGTGGAGGGAAGGGGCAGATGGAGGAAGTGGGAAATGCAAACACAGGTGGCGATTCAGAGTGAGCAGTGAAGCGGGGTTAAGTTTTGAGATTAGGCTCAAAGGCGCTTACATAAACACACTGGGGTTTACACAAACGCACTGGCACTTGGATAAGCGCACTGGAACTTGGAATAAGGCACTGGAAACTACTTCAACACACCGGCACTTACATAATTAGCAGTGTACATGGCAGTGCATTGGGAGAAAGCCCGGCTGGTGACGTTAACAAGAGTGCCTACAGGGATGGGCGCTCGGCACTGGAACCCCTGCAGTCAGAACAAGGAGACATAGAGGAGAGGATTGGTCAGAACATGGGTATCTGACAGAAAAGAAACACTAAACAGGCAAGACGGGAAGGGGGGTATGGGTTTGGACGCTCTGCTGTTACAAGGAGAGATTCGAACGAGGCAGGCCGAATGGGTGGTGGGAAGAATGAGCGGAAAGTGAGGAGCAGTGAGAGAAAGTGAGGGGGGGTGGGTGGAAGCGAGGGGAATTGAGTTGAAGTGAGGGGCAGAGAGGGGAAGTGAGAGAAACTGAAGGGCAATGTGTGGCGATGAGGGGAAGTGTGGCTGTGCCGTGACCAGAAAGGGGAAATATTGAGCTTTCAGACGGACCTTGTTTTGGCTCCAGAATTCCGCTTGGGAGAGCCCATAGGTGTTGAGTTGAGGATGAGAGAGCATGTGATGTGATGTGATGCGATGCCACACAATGTGCTGCGAGATGAATGTGCTGTGAGATGAATGTGCTGAGCTGAACTAAACACAGCCCCTTTAACCAAAGCCCACCAAAGCCCTCCTGAGCTTGTTTTGGTTGAAGAAGTCTGCTTGGGTGAGCCCATAATTGTTGAGGATGAGCGGGCATGGGACATGGAATGTCCTGACCCCAATCAATCTACAGCTTGAACCTTCCTTCAGTCCAATGTCAGACCTTGTTTTGGCTGAAGAAGTCTGCTTGGGTGAGCCCGTAGGTGTTGAGGATGAGCGCGCATGTGAGGCCGTAGGGCGACAGGAAGGTGGGCATTCGAGTCTCAGCCAATCGCACTGCATGCACGGGGGGTAGGCATGCACGGGGTAGGCATGCATGGGGTAGGCATGCATGGGGTAGGCATGCATGGGGTAATAACGAGAACGATATAAGTCCACGTGATGAGCCCATAAGAAGTAAACACAGGAGACACGAGGTCCATGTGATGTGATGAGAGCCATGACGATAAGAGCTATCGGATGGGCCATGTGATAGAAGTAGCGTTTTGAAATGTCTCAAAATACGAGGTGCATGTGATGAGAGCCATGACGATAAGAGCCATCGGATGGGCTGAGATAGAACAGGCACACATGTGAGAGAGGGGCATGTGAGAGAGGGGCATGTGAGAGTTGGGCGTATGACAGTGGGGCGTGTGAGAGCGGTGACGTGTGAGAGCGGTGACGTGTGAGAGCGGTGACGTGTGAGGGGTGTGTGTGAGAAGAGGGGGTAGGCGAGGGGTCAGAGGCATGAGCTGAAAATCAAACCTTGTTTAAGACCATCTGACCATGTGGTACGCACAATGGTAACAGCGGGCAGCGCCTTTGGGGTAAAAGTAGAAGGGGAAGTAGGGCGAGGGGCAGAGGCAGGAGTAGGTGCCATCTATGTCATCAATGCACACCCCCGGGGCACACGGGTTGCGGGGGAACTGGCGACATGTGAAGGAATCTGGTTTAGGGAGGGCGAGGGAAGGGGAAAGACAATCGGGGAAGCAGAGTGGGAAGAGAGCAAGAGTGAGTGAGCAGCAGACTAGGACACCATTGATGCACATCCCAAAGGGCACATGGGATAAAGGTAGAGTTTTGAGACGTCTCACAACTCTACTTATATCAAGTGCGTGAGCAGCAGACTAGGATACCATTGATGCACATCCCATGTGCCCCTGGGATGTGCATGACCAATTGGGCTTGCCTCACTACCAAATGCTCACCCACCACACTCTGCCTCTCACCCACCATGCTCCACCTCTAACCTACCGCACTCCACCTCTCACCTACTGCACTCCACCTCTCACCTACTGCACTCCACTTCTCACCTACTGCACTCCACCTCTCACCTACCACACTCCACCTCTCACCCACCTACCGCTCTCCGCCTCTTGCCTACCTCAGTCCACGGCTCACCAGGGAAGCAGGAGGGCAGGCCGGCAAGGTGGGAGGGTTGGAAGGAGGGGAGCTTCAAGGGGCACTTGCAGGAGGGCACGAGGATAGACGGGTCCCACGGGGCACGTGCCTTGGTGCATGCACCCGTGCCACAGGGCTGCACGGGAGAGGCCTTGCAGGGGTCGGTGTCTGTTGGGGGAGCGGGGGGAAGGGGGAAGGGAGGGGGGAGGAGGATGGGAAGGGGGAGTGTGCGGAGGTATGAGGCAGGAGGAGAGAGAGGTCCAGGTATGAGACAGCAAATGCCTTGAAGCATGCAACCATGGAACAGAGGAGCACTGGAGAGGCGTTGCAGGGGATACGCGGGGGTTCGTGGGGTTACAATAACGAAAATCCTCCCTCCCCTCTTCCTACCTCTTCAGAGCAGGCACGTGGCTTGCTACCCCTCCCCCTCCTTCCCTCCCCCCCAGCTCCCCCCCTTCCCCCTCCCTGCCCGTGAATCGGAAGGCCCAGGAGGAGAGGGTGACAGGGGCAGGGCATGTGGCTTGCTACCCCTAAGCCCTTAACGATAAACTCGAAACCCTAAATCCTGGCTTGCTACCCCTCCCCTCTTTCCCTCCCCCCATCTCGACCCATTCCCCTCCCCCCTACCTGTGAATCGGAAGGTCCAGGAGGAGAGGGCGACGGGGGAAGGCAGGCGGCCAGGGGGGGGAGGGAGGGCAGCGCTGGTGAACCCAACGACCAGCTGCCCGAACGATGGCGACCATAGGTCCGTTGCACTGCTGCTGTCACTGCTGCTGCTGCTGCCACTTGTGGTGGTGGTGCTGGTGTTTCTGCTGTTGCTGCTGCTGCCGCTACCAGTGCCGCCGCTGCTGCTTGTGCTTGTGTCAGGGCCCCCAGTGAGAGCAGCACAGAGGTCAAGGGAGACTTTCATGCTGCCTACTAGAACAGGGGGTTGGTACCATCTGATCAGCATCTCCTTGCTCCTCCCGTGATAGTCAACCCTCATCTGCAACACCTCCTCTGCCTCCACCACATTTGACACCTCCTCCTCGAAAATCGAAGTCATGTTGAAATCGGTGTTAACGCCTATGTGATAAGCATTTGGATCGTCAGTTTCCGGGTTTGTTACAGCCTGTGGGTGCCATAGCACAGCTACACTCCGCGCGCCGTCCGGCCAGCTGCCGTTAGTGAGTCGCGAGGATGGGTCCCGGCCGTACCCCATATAAGCCCCGCCTAGGCCCACGCTCGCATGTGTGCTTATAACGAATGCGAGTCCATGGGAAGCGGATACATTTATGGAAAAGCCGTATGTGAAGGTGAAAGAGCGAGCCATGCAGATGGGGGGTTCGGTTGCTGTGGGTTGGGGAGGGGAGGAGGAAGGAGAGGAATGGGGGGAGCTGCGGGGACGACGAGGAGGAGGAGGAGGAGGAGGGAAGGGAGGGGAGGAGGAGTAGAGGAGGGGGAGACGGCGAGGGAAGTAGATGGCTCCAGGGGCGGGATCGTCTGATTGGCCACTGGATGATGCCACGTCAGCAGCGACCGAGAGATCAGCGGCAAAGAATCGCTTCCTGGTGCTGCCACGTGTCAGCAGGGGAGTGGCTGGCGTGATGTAGGGGAAGGAGAACGAGTCTGCCGCCCAAAACGGAAGCTGATCCTCCGCTGCTGGGGTTGGCATGGTATGGGGGCGGGGGCAGTGGGGGGAGGGTTAGGCATGAGTAAATGTTCAACCTTAGGCTAGGATGTGGACCGTGGGACACTGGAACTATGGCAGGTAGGTTCCATGGAGGTTCGCTCCTCCTTTTCACCACCCACCAAAACGGCAGCGAATTCGTTGCAGAAGGGGGTTGGCATTGTATGCTCCAGCATTCCACCCCCACTGATTCCTTCTCACCACCACCACCGCCCTTCCCCCTGCTCCTCTTGCCCTCCCCCTCTCCTCCCGACGACCATCCTGCTCCAGACAACCGCCTTGCTCCCATACCACTCCCCTTCTTCCCTCCCTTTCTCCCCCTTGCCGCCCCGCGTGTACCAGCACCACGGACGGTAGCAACACTCACAACAGTGCCCTCAAAAACCTCCCGGCTTTCTGCTCCTCCCACAGTCAGCACAGGTACATCCCCCGCTCCAACACCCGAGCCCTTTCCCAGTGCATCCTCCCCAATACATCCCCCCTCTCCCTCCCCATCCCCGTCCCCATCCTCCCTAATTTCGTGGCATTTCCCCTTCCCACTGCCAATCCCTGCTCCTCCTGTCTCCCTAGCAGCAAGCATCGCTGCTTTTCTCCCCTTGGGGCCCCACTCTCTACGAACATTCACCCTGCCACCACCAGCAGCAGCAGCAGCAGCAGCAGCAGCAGCAGCAGCAGCAGCAGCAGCAGCAGCAGCGGCAGCAGCGGCAGCAGCAGCAGCAGCAGCAGCAGCAGCAGCAGCAGCAGCAGCAGCAGCAGCAGCAGCAGCAACTCCAGCTGCTCCTCCTCTCCCTTTCCTCCCTGCAGCCGCCCCCCTCCCCACGCCTGCAGCAGCAGCCGCGCTTGCTGCTGCGATCTCCAGCTGTCGTATCCTCTCCCCCACCGTCCCTCTCACCCTGCCTTGCCCCATGCCCGCACCTCCTCCTCTCCCTCACCCTCCCGCCCTCCCACCCTCTCTCTTCCGCCTCGTTCTGCCTGGGGTCATCACAACCCCCGAGGTAAGGCCAGTATTTCCGCTCCCTATAACGAGGACAACGGTTTCCCCTGCGCCCATCTCCTCTTCTCCTTCTGTGCTTTCGAAGGTCACCCCCAGCCGTCTCTCCCCTCCACCATCTCCCTCCCCATCTGTATCCATCTCAACCGCATCAGAAAGAAGCGTGGCCGCTCCAAACGCCTGCCTTCCCTTCCCCGTTGCTCGTTTCGCTCTGCTTCTGCTGTTTCCCTCGCCATTGCCATTTCTCCTGCTCCCCCCGCTGCTGTCCAACCCGTTATTGTCACACCCTGATGCAAAACCCTCCCTGCTCGGCTCACCACCCATTAAAACGCCACAAGCACCGCATTCAACTCCTTCGTCTTCCCCGCTGCTTGAGCCCCAGCCCCCCTGCAACTCGCGCCTTCATTTCCCAAACACAGCAGCAGCGGTAGAAAACAGCAGTAGCAAACAGTAGAAAACAGCATCAGCAGCGGCAACCAGCATGGTTAGCAGCAGCAGCAAGAAGGAACAGCAACAACTGCAGCAGCAACATAATCAGCGGCAGCAAAACACCAGCAGCGGGGGACGCAGCAGCAGGAAGCAAACGTTAGCAGCACCAGAAGGGCGAAGAAAAGCAGTCAAAGGGCTCTACAAGAAGGGATCGAAGGGATTGAAACAGCTCCAGGGAGGGGTGATGTTGCACTCGCCTGCGCAATGATTGTCAGCGCCTTGTCAGCAGCGCCCCCCCTCTGCTTGAGCCCCAACTCGTTCTCCTCGTCGTCTGCGGAAACAGTGAAGGGGCAGGGGGGAAGGAAGTGAGGGGAGGGGAGGGGGCGCGTGGGTGGGTGAGTGAGCAAGTGATAGGAGGAAGGAGGCGGGCAAGGGAGGTAGCAGAAAACCCAGATATCGGTACCAGCACCATATGGAATCCGCAGCTTCACACGGTGACATGCAAAAACGCTGCAGGGGACATGCTTGGCTCTGTTGAGGCGAACATAAGAAACTTCTAACAGACTCTAAGAAGGAATTTGTCAAGCGTTTAACCCACCTGCATCCACGCATGCAGAATCGCAGCCATTCGCGAATGTCGTCTAGCAGCCCCGGAAAAAGCGCATGCATGTGTGTCACGCCATTGCCAGTGGCGCATCGACAGTGTTCCCAACACAGTGTGTTCTCATCACGTCATGGGCACCGCATCATCGACTGCCGCTACTACACCGCCGCGGGAAAGGCGCCGGCTCTTTTTTTGCAAGACGGCAGATGCGGCGACTGTTTTCACGTGACACATGCTGCCTGTCCGCAAATCGCGAACCGGCAAATTAGTACGAGTAGTAGTACTACTAATCGACGAGGCGCGCGAAGCGGCTTGCTGTGCTTGACCGCTGCCTCTGCTCCAGGAACCGGCGGCGTCGACGAGACTAGCACGCCGCCTGCAGCAGCCACACTGTGGCAGGAGCAAAGCGGCGTGGTCAACATGATAAACGTCGCTTGAAGCGATGACGTAAATAATCAGAAGTGATTCCATATCGAGACAGGAAGAAAACACAAGTACATAAGCGTGCATATCAGTCTAGGGGCTGGCGTACGTTAGAACAGCTAATACTACTACGACTACGACTAACGGTGCTAGTACCAACGACGGGCTGCATAGTACTAGGGTGGGTGGCGGCGCGATGAAGGTGATGTGAGAGGGAGTAGGTGATTTGGCGAAAGGGAGGAAATGCTGAAGCTCATGGGGCCCGTTGCCTTCTTACACCCATCTAGAAACCCTAATTTTCAAATCGCGGTTGAGAACGGTGGAAAAGCTGTCATCGTGCACTGAATTGAAGAGCACGACAAATGCTGGAAACGGACACGTGGCCCCCGCCCTTGGGTTTGTTCTCAACTGCCGGAGTCAACCTTCGAGCTCGCGCCAACAGTTGCTAACGTCAGATACAGAAACAAGCAGGGTGAGCGGGATCGGCGGGGGACACACACTACAGTGCGTTTCGGTACGGTTTAATAAAGGTTATAAGAGGTGAGGTGAGATGAGCTGAGGTGAGGTGGTGATATGGATTGCCCACCTGTCGTTACCGCGCAGAGCAGAAAGCGCCGCCAGATCAGCCCAAGCACTTCAAATTTTAAATACAGAGGACGAACAAAAAGTCGTGCTTTAGGTCAACGAAATAATAGATGGTTGTGGTGGGAGAGAAAACGCGCTGGATTTTAGCAAACTATCAAACGAACAATACAAACGACGTACAAAGACTGGGTGTGTAAAATAGAACAGATGTACAGTGCGAACCGGGAAGAAAATGGAGTAGCAGGTGCAAAACAAAACCAAAAAGAACAACTAACCAATACTGTACAAAAAAGACCAAGTTGGAATCCCCGAACCGAATCCCGATCAGAACCTGAATTCTAGGGCACACAACTGTACAGCATTGGCTTGCTGCTTTGTTTTGAAAGCCGACAGGTTGAGAACGGTGCTATCGTTAAAATCCGTTTCAGCCAAGCGCTCTGAATTGAATTGCGCGTCAGAAGGGACACGTGGACTGCACCTGTGGTTCTGTTCAGCTGTCGTCTGTGAAGCTCGCGAACCATCCTGTCTGCGCAGAAGCCAGCTCTAACCAAATGTAAAACTCGTGCGCCAGCTCTCTTAAAAGGCAGGGAGTGTGGCGAAATGAAATAAACATGGGGGTGGCGAAAAAACGGCCTACGTGATAGCAAAACACCATACGGGCTTTACAGAGCAGCAAAAATCGGGTGCGAGAACAATAACAGATGAGAGTCGCAAGGCCGAACAAAAACATACAGGGCAGCCAGAACAAACAACTAGTATCCCCGAAGTGCGAACAGACCCTGCAGTACAGTTGAGCGAGGTGAGGTGAGAAGGTACTGCAATGGTGAATCTGCCTGTCTGTCGTATGCACGCCGACACGAACTGAGTGCAACACAAAAAACAAAACCAAAGAAACAACACGAGAGGTGAACAATAACACGTGCCGCAGTTTCTGTCACAACGAAGGGGGGGTCTCCGAAAAAACGGGCTAGGTCTTAGCCAAACACCAACTGTCGCATTCAACTTTTAAGCAATTGCAAGCTTCAAGCTCGCAACGCCTCGCCAACAGTTTCGAACCGTAAAAGATGACAAACCAAAACAAAGGCCCTTGCGTTGCCCGACGTGAGGTGAACTTCAGGAGAAAAAAGTCGCCACGTGCGATTCCGTCCTACTTTGCACCTGTCGTGAGCGAGCTGATTCGCTCGCTAAGAGTGCAAACGGCGCGCAAAGCTTCGCTTTACTCACGGACCAATCCACCACCCTGATTTCAAGCTTCGTATTAGTGTCCTAGCCTCGGCGTAGCCAATTGATTGGCTGCAAACGTGAACAAAATGCAGCACTAACAGTGTTACGTGAACAATTTGCAGCCCAATCGTGTTTCGGTTTCCAGGCCCACAATGCCATGCAGTATACGTACAACAATATATATCATCATATACATACATAGCACAGAAACTTTAACCAGGTGCTAACAGATAGTTCATCACCTTATGCATAGGCACCCTCAAACTTAGCACTTCTTCGGCATGATTGACTACTTGTTATACTGACATTTACCAATAAATGTTTTCAAACCGGTCCCCCTCTCCGTGTAGAATACATTATAAAACGGGTTTTGTAGTGCGCCTTTGAATGTCGCGTATGATCGATATCAAAATGCACATTTGCTGGTGGTGTGCATAGGTGTGTGGGTATTGATGAATGTGTCTCTATGTAGCAAATGTCCGTGTCAATCTCGGTGCTCGGATAGATTGTACCTACGCTACGGCAATGCACTGTTTGATCTTTTCTCGCATGGATAGTATGGAAATATTGGCAGGATGACTAACTAAGAGCCGGTCCCATTGCTCCGGCTCTTTTCATGCATGTCACAACACGTACCTGGGGTGGTTACGGTATGAGCTTGCTTATGGTATTTCCAGGTTTATGCTGGTGTGAAAGCAACGGACATGGCATCCTGTTTTGATTAACGGCAGAACTCTGTCATGGCACCATTGCATTTTGTTTCGACAAATGCATACAGTAAACCACAACACAAAGGCATTATGTTCCAAAAGGGGCAAAACTCTGTCACATACATACAGCACTAAGCTTGGGGAATGCCACCTGTAGCTACTGCTGAACACCAGCCCCCATCCCATCATCTCACCCTCTCACCACCCGCCCCATCCCATCATCTTACCCTCTCACAACCAGCCCCATCCCATCAGCTCACCCTCTCACCACCCGCCCCATCCCATCATCTTACCCTCTCAGCACCTGCTGCTGCTGCTTGTACAGTCTACTGCTGCTGCTTGTACAGTCTGCTGCTGCTGCTTGTACAGTCTACTGCTGCTGCTTGTACAGTCTACTGCTGCTGCTTGTACAGTCTACTGCTGCTGCTTGTACAGTCTGCTGCTGCTGCTTGTACAGTCTGCTGCTGCTGCTTGTACAGTCTACTGCTGCTGCTTGTACAGTCTACTGCTGCTGCTTGTACAGTCTACTGCTGCTGCTTGTACAGTCTACTGCTGCTGCTTGTACAGTCTACTGCTGCTGCTTGTACAGTCTACTGCTGCTGCTTGTACAGTCTGCTGCTGCTGCTTGTACAGTCTGCTGCTGCTGCTTGTACAGTCTGCTGCTGCTGCTTGTACAGTCTGCTGCTGCTGCTTGTACAGTCTACTGCTGCTGCTTGTACAGTCTACTGCTGCTGCTTGTACAGTCTACTGCTGCTGCTTGTTCAGTCTACTGCTGCTGCTTGTACAGTCTACTGCTGCTGCTTGTACAGTCTACTGCTGCTGCTTGTACAGTCTACTGCTGCTGCTTGTACAGTCTACTGCTGCTGCTTGTACAGTCTGCTGCTGCTGCTTGTACAGTCTGCTGCTGCTGCTTGTACAGTCTGCTGCTGCTGCTTGTACAGTCTGCTGCTGCTGCTTGTACAGTCTGCTGCTGCTGCTTGTACAGTCTGCTGCTGCTGCTTGTACAGTCTGCTGCTGCTGCTTGTACAGTCTGCTGCTGCTGCTGCTTGTACAGTCTGCTGCTACTGCTTGTACAGTCTACTGCTGCTGCTTGTACAGTCTGCTGCTGCTGCTTGTACAGTCTGCTGCTGCTGCTTGTACAGTCTGCTGCTGCTGCTTGTACAGTCTACTGCTGCTGATTGTACAGTCTGCTGCTCCTGCTGTGTCTCCTATTGCGTGTTGCTGCTGCTCCTGGGCAGGGCGGACGGCAACACGTTAGCAGGACAGGGGGAGCACATATGTTTAGTGCATATGAGAGCAGAGCCATTGAGAGAAAGGGGATAGGAGCACGATGAAAGTGCAGACCACTCTCGGCGAGTCGCCGCCTCACCTGCCTCGCAGCTCCTCCCCCGCGTCGAACACACGGCGTGGAACAGCCTCGCTGCTTCTAACGCGTTGCTCCTCGAGCGGAATTGCCGCCGCCGCCGGAATTTCCGGAATTGCTTCTAACGCGTTGCTCCTCGATCCAGCATTAGATGCTAAAGTATGCCGTAAACAGCTTGTTGTACCGTAGTCGTTCGTGTGGACGTTCATGGCCCGCTGCCGTCTTATAACTCACACGATGTTCAGTCGACCGAGCGGTCATATAGGAGGAAAGAAATATCAGTGTCAAGTTCACATTTGCACGGTTTTAGTGCTAGTTGTTGAACTCAGCATGGATTACCGTAGTCGGGTAAGGTCAGTCAGTGGCGTGAAAGCACATAAGCGTAGGTGGGTGCTGAGCCAAACTTCTGTCTATGCCATCACTCAGTGTGTAACGTAAGTCATTCCCCGCAACAAACATTTGTTCAAAACTCGTGGCGCAATGAATCACGTGAAACACAAACGAACAAAAAGAAAGAAAATATGCTAACAATGCTGACAAGGGCTACGGACAACCAATGCAATATAAAAACATATTGCTTTGTATAATGCTTAGCAGTATTGCAATTGTGTGCTACTGCAATTGCTGCAAACGTTCAGCTGCTCCTGATGCAACTGCTGCTGCTGCTGAGAGCCGGCCTGCTGCAGCTGGTTGCTGTGGTTCTTGGCTGGAAAGGGATTGGGCAGGGGTGTTGACAGGACTTGATGCGGCTGCACCGGCAGTTGTAGCAGCACGCTGGTGCAGCAGCAGCAGTGGCAGCGGCAGCTACTGCTGCCGCTGCCCAAGGACCTCCCTCCCCCCCTCACTGCTACACTCACTGCTCTTCCGTGTGCTGCAATCAGCTCCAGACATGCCGTGAAGATGCTTGAACGAGAGGGGCGAGAGTGGAGGAGGAGGGGGTGGAGTGAGAGGAGAGGGCGGAGGAGGGAGGGGTGAAGTGGGAGACTTCCCATGCCTCCGCTCATTTCCCATCCCGACGCCCCTTTACCATGCCGCCAATTCACATGCCGCCTTCCGCCGCCCCTTCCCATGCCGCAGACCATTTTATGAAGGTTCTACGCCTGCTGCGGCTGCTGCT